CAAGCAATCAGGGCCTGAACCGTCTTCCGATAAGTCGCTGCCTCTCCTCGCCCTTGAGGTTGACAGGGGAAGTATAGCACCAGGAATAGTACATCCAGTGTCGCCGTCTTCAGGCGGACGGCTCCCGCTCGACCAGCCAGCGCAGGTGGTGGTGGGTAGAGACGTCTGAGGGCTCGAGGGGGAAACACCTGCTTGTGCATCATGATTGAGACCCCGCACGCTTTGTTGCTGGCCCTCGTCCATCCGAAAGAGATCTCCCAGTGCTTCGTGTGCTGGAAGATCTGGTGGTCGTCCTCGCCCTTCTTTCTGCTGGTGCCAGGTAGCAGTAAAACTCCAATGTTGTGAAACTCCTGAGATATGTCAGTGCATCTCATCGGGCCGACGAGGTGCATCGGGTTGTACGTACAGGCCCTTATGTGTGTGTGTCCGCTCGGCTGGGGGCGGGAGGCTGGCGCACTCGTCATATCCCAAACAGACAGGAAGAGCACCCGCAGCAGGCGCCCGTGGCGAGGAGCCGACGCCTGCAGAGCCATCCGCCACCCTCTCTCAAGGGCTCGGCAGACCCCGCGCGCGACGCATCATGCCGCTGTCACGGGATCTCTTTCCTCTGAAGTGGGAGGAGCCGCGAAGGAGGGTGTTTCGGGCCGCTGCGGCGGCTGAGGAGGAGGAGGAGGAGGAGGAGGAGGAGGAGGAGGAGGAGGAGGGGCACGCGGCGAGCGGAACAGCACGGCGGGCGGTGGTTTGTCGCTCCCTTCGGCATCCGGGGGCCCCCGCGGGGCCCTGGGGCCCGCGGAGCACGCCTCAGGAGGGACAGCCAGTCCCGGAGAAGGGGTCCAGACCTCTGGGGGTCGGCGCTGTGAACAAAAAATCACGACGTCAGCGGTAGCTCATCTGCAGGTCGAGGTAAGTCAAGAAAACCATCACCATCTCCAACAAAAATTGCAGAGTACGAGTAGTTTGTCAGCCCCAGCGCTGATAGCAGACGGGACGAGGATAGATTCGGGTGAGGAGAAGTCGAGAATCTCCGAGATCTGGCGGCTCTGGAGGACGTCTCGGGCGCCGCGGCCCTCTCCGAGCGTCCCGGAACGCTCTGAGAGCGCTCCAGAACGCGCTGGAACGGATGTATCCTCGTCCTAGCCCCGTCCGACCAGACGCAGAAGCAGACTGGGGGAAGGGGTCCAGAAACCAGCCGACCAAAAAGCAGCCAAGATCTGGTAAGAGGAGAAACAGGAACACGAGGCTGAGGAGGAGGAGAAGGAGGAGGACCAGTGTAAACCCAAGAGCCATCAACGATGTTGGAATTAACCCTCCCTCCAAGTTTCCTCTTCACAGGCCCCTACAACGGTGCATTTCCATTGAGTGAACTGCCTCGTTGGAAGACAACCGTTTGAAAACCTTGAAATATGCCGAAACATTGTTCTCGGGATTTCCACGCCACGGGTCAACCTGACTTCTGCGTCCTGACAATATGGGATCGTGCCAGAACGCCATTTGGGACTGGAGCACTGCGAATCAACAGAACTGTGTTTCACTAATCGTGAATTTCTCAAAAACACCATGTCTGGTATTGTGATCATGGGAATCCGTAAAACTCTTGCAATGTTCTAAACCGAATGTGCGCGGCGCTGAGGTGAGAGCCACATTGTGAAGAGGAACCACCCTCACTCCGTGAAACTCCTGCAATTCTTTAAAGCGGATGTGCGCGGCGCTAAAGCGAGAACCACATTTTCAAAACCACCCGCCCTCAATCCGTGAAACTCTTACAATTGTTTAAAGCGAATGTGCACGGCGCTAAAGCGAGAACCACATGTTGAAAACCCCCCGTCCTCAATCCGTGAAACTCCTGCAATTGTTTCAGACGAATGTGCGCAGCGCCAAGGCGAGAGCCACATGTTGAAACCGGCCCCCGCCCTCCATCTGCAAAACCGTTGCCATTTACTATCTTTAAGCTTCAGAATCATAGATGGTGAGGAAGTCTCAGGCGAAACGCCCGGCCGCCCTAAAAACTGGCCTCGGGGTGCGACAGGGAGAAGATACTCATAAGGAAATAATGGATTTGAGGAAGAGGAGGAGGAGGAGGAGGAGGAGGAGGAGGAGGAGAGGAGGAGGAAAAGAGAAGGGGCAGGTACCCGCGCCGATCGGCGAAACAACAAACAGAGCAACTGCTGCCAGGGGAGGAGGCCTGCAGCCAGAGTGCTCCTGCCTGGGGCGGAGGCTCGCGACGCATCGCCGATGCACCGGCAATGCATCGCCTATGCTAACCAGCCTCGATCCTGTCCCCATCCCTGAGATTGACAAGCCCAAGTGCGATGGCGATCGCAGGGATGCGCCCTCAGAAGCTCGGGGAATCCGCAAGATCGGCATCGAGATCAGGCGATGCTACTCACAGGGATGGGGATACGCTCCAGGCTGGTAAGATACATCACCGACATATCGGCGACGTCGGCGATGCATCGGCACCGTCGGCGTGGGAAAGAGCGGGCTGCACACCGAGCCCAATCGCGAATACAGTCACCCGTATAGGAAGGACGCGCGATAAGGATGCAAAGGCCTTGAAAGGCCATGTCGGCACTCTGCGCGCGGGGCGCGGCCAGCGAGTGGCCGAGGGATGGGCCGACGGGGAAGGATGCAAAAGGGCAACCTCGGAACGCTGCTCATCCCTACTACTCGGGGGCGGCCGAGAGGAGGGCGTCCGTCCAAGAGGGGGGGCGCAACGCATGGCCGGCGGCATGTGGGCGGCCCAGGGGAGGGGGGCCGGGGACGCACTGAAATAAGAAAAGGCGGTATGAACTCTGAGGAGATGTCATGGCCCACGCCATGCTATCCACCCACCCACCCTAGTCATTTGGACGCCCGAATCATCCGGGATAACTCGGGTCTGGGTTGGGTCGGGTTTGGGCCCCCGCGCTGGGGCCCGAATGGCCGATGGCACCCTTGGCATTCGACGTCCGCTTC